TCTCAGGAAAGTAGAGGAGAGGTGCCTTCATGGAGGAAGAGGCATTTGAAGTGGGATTTTGAAGGATGGGGTAAGAATTTGAGGGGCAGTTATGAGACGCAAGGACATCCCGGGGATCATTTAAGGCTGCGGTCACCAACTCTCTGGCTGTGGCCTGGTACCGGTCCATGGCCTGTTAGGAAACCAGGGCAGTGCACCTCCCCACCGTGCCCTCCCCATCCATGGAAAAATTGTCTTCCGTGAAACCGATCCCTGGTGCCAAAAAGGTTGGGGACAGCTGATTTAGTGGATATAGGATGGGCTGTCGCTGGGATAAAACCTGGGTGTACATTTAGATTCTGACATTTGCAACTGTGTGACATTGGGCAAGTTGTCAACTGTTCTGATCCTTATCTATAACATAAGGGCTATAATTAATATATCATAATGTTAAGAAGCTTAAATGAGATAACTTCAGTACACATGACCACTGCATAGAGCATCAGTATAATGGAATCATAGATGAAAGCTGTAATTTGTAAAGTATCAGGTGCTCTTTTCCTTCATTTTTCCATCTGGCTTCCCCTCTTGGCCTCTGGTATTAGCGACGTTTTGTATTTGCTTTCCAATGGCTTATTATTTAATTTTCACAACATCCTTGGGAGCTAAATAGGTAATAACTATTATTACAGTAAAAACCCATTTTTACATAATACGATTTTAATGGAACTGCTGATTTTACAAAATGAAAGTGACTGGTAAAGAAGATTTAAGTGATACTTTTGAACCTCTAATATAATTTTATGGTGTTTTGTGTATTTTAATTCATTAATAAAGGAAACGTGTAGAACATTCCCATCATTATTCAAATAGAATAGCATAATTTTTCAATAAAATTCTTAGGGTAAATTGCCTATTTCCATTTTCTGGGAAATCAATTTTATGGAATGACCTCAGACCCATCCTATTCCATAAAAATAGGACTTTACTGTACTAATAAAAGATATCACTATCTTAAGTATGGTACCATTTTCCTTCAAGGCGTCCCGTCTTTATAGACATTGGATTTTGAAAGAGCTGTAAATTCTTCTCTGTGGCATATTATATGGAGTAAGCCAAGGTAATCATGAAGAATTTGCTCTTTTAGTTTAGTTTGTGATAACTTTGCTTCATACAAACAAGTCTATCTGACTGTCTTTGCTTTCTAAATACTGGAAGAATTGGTCTAAATGCATTCTAGACTTCTTAAGCGGTAGGAACAAGCTCTATTCAACATGCTATGTGAATCTCAAACCTTCATGAAGAATAGCTGGCCAATTGACAAAATGATCCCCCTGGCTTTTACGCCTTGCCTTGTCCTGAGTTCACCTGGGAGGATTTTTGTAAGATGCTTCCAGTGCTTTCTCTGGAGGAGTTTCAGCCTTGGCAAGATGACACCTTTTTCACACAGGGCAGCCTTAACAGAAGGGAAATGTGTTATGATTCCACATGATAGGACTCTGTTTTGAAGGGTACAGATGTGATATCATGTAGCTTTCAGAGTCTTTTTTTGTATGAACATGGGAGAATTCACTGTTTCCTTTTCTACATTACTCTGAAGTATCTTTATATGAAGAGATGAACAGAAGTGTACTGTTTTTCTTTTGTAATAGTTCTGTTTGTTCTGATGTTCAAAATTCAGTACTTTAGATGTCAGAGAGGCTCATCAAAGCCATGTGATGTTCAAAGATGGCCATATTTAATGTATTTCCTTGTTAAATTATAAAGCATTATAATGGATTGGTGATATGAGGCAAGATGATCGTAAATCTAGAAGTCATATTTGAGGGGAGGAATTTCTATAAAATATTGTGATTATAGAATTATTGGCCTGATTTACTTTTTTCTTATCTGGGATTATATATAATTTAAGATGACAAACACATCCATAAAGATTTAGGTTTGCAACACCAATTAGAAACCAAACATAAATATTGGTCATGTTTCTATTAATAGAGCTTGAGTATTTCTCCGATTTTGGCCTTGTACCATTTGGATGGGACAGAAAAGATCTACATATCATCACTTCACTTATTCTGGATTAGAAGCAAGTGGAAGCAGAAGGAATTTAGGCCTGAACTATTGGAGTCCTTTCTATGATGTGCAGCATGAGAATGGCGACAGCTGGAGTGTGGGTGTTCTGGAACTCTATTATTACCTAGAAAACTATTCAGAAACCTAAAAGCGTAAAGTGTACATTTTATTTTGCTCATAATTTTGTGGGAAGGGGTAGGATGGGGTGTTCTTGTTTGGGTTCTTCCATGTTTAGCAATGAGCTGGTGGCTGGGCTGTGGTCCTAAGGTCGACTTGGCTGCAGGGTCTAAATTGGCTCACTCACACGGCTGGAAGTTGATTCTGATTATTGTCTGGGAGCTCAGCCAGGGCAGTCAGCTAAAAGTCCTCAGTTCCTCTCCTCATAGGTTCCTCTGTGGGGCTGCTTGGGCTTCCTCGCAGCATGGTGTCAGGATGTCAAGAAGGAGTAGCCAAAGAGAGAGTGCCCAAAGAGTGAGCAGTCCAAGAGACTTGGGTGGAAGCTGCGTGCCTACTGAGCCAGCCCTAGCAGCCTCAAAATATCAAGAGCATTACGTTGTATTGGTAAAGTAAGGCACTAAGGTTAGCCCAGTTCAGGGGAGAATTAGGCTCCATTTCTCAATGGGAGGAGTAGCAAAGAATTTGCAGCTGTCTTTAATCTACCACTGTGTGTGTGTTTCTGTGTGTATGTGTGCATGTACATAATTAAGAGCAGATGTACCTGACTTAATTCAATTCAAAAGGTGTTCTAGAGCCTGCTAAATTTGTGCTGTCCTCCCTATTGGGCAGACTTTATTTAGACTCTGTCAGCTTTCATGAATCAGAAATTGCAGAACACCGGGAGACAGCCTGGTCAAAGGATTTTAGTTTCTTTATTTTTTTACTACCTGTATTGCTTCGTTTTAATTACAATGCCTTTTCTCTGCCTGAAAGTGGTATTCTTCATCCCTCCGGACATAATTACGCCCCTGGTTTGGAATTGTACACTTTGAGATGGGGGTGCGGCAACCTGTGGTCAAATCAGTACATGTGTGACTAGAAGACTCTTGTCGAGAGAGAGGGGTATGGTAGAATGAGGAGAGAAAGGAAGAATATTTTGAGCATTTTCTTTTAGGGCAGAAATTAAAGGTTCAGGGAGACATCAGTCAAACTGTTCTTCGATTTTATTTAGAACTTGAATGAGTAAGCTATTCTTTCAGGTACTCTTGATGTAGAAACTTTAGCATTTTTATCAAGTAAAAATAAACAAATAGGCTGGGCGCGGTGGCTCACGCCTGTAATCCTAGCTCTTTGGGAGGCCGAGGCGGGTGGATTGTTTGAGCTCAGGAGTTCAAAACCAGCCTGAGCAAGAGCAAGACTCCGTCTCTACTAAAAATAGGAAGA